GAAGGACTTTTTTCCCAAGAATCTACCACCAGCTCAATACTGTGTCTGATGACCATTTTCCCTGAAGATCACAAGGAAGAGGGAAGGGAAGTCACAGAGTTGACTGGAAGAGATGTATATGGCAAAACGTGTGGAAAAGGGCACTCAGTTTTCAGGCACTCTCTGGAATCACCACCCCCCAGGAACTTCCACGTGTTCAGCTATCTACAACCTCCCTTGATTTTTTTTTTTTAGAAATTTGGTCAGGTGTGGTGGCTTGTGCCTGTAATCCCAGTACTTTTGAGAGGCTGAGGCGGGAGGATTGCTTGAGAACAGAAGTTCAAAACCAGTCTGGGCAACATAACAAGATCCCCCATCTCTACACAATTTTTTTTTTAATCAGCTGGGCATGGTGGCACCCCTGTAGGTCCTATTACTTGGGAGGCTGAGGCGGGAGGATCACTTGAGCCCAGGAGTTTGAGACTCACTAAGCTATGATTGCAGCTATGAAACTTCTCTCCAGCCTGGATGACTGGGTGAGGTTCCCTCTTGAAGAAGGAGGGAGGGGAAGGGGAAGGGGGAGGGAGAGGGAAGGAAGGAAGGAAGGAAGGAAGGAAGGAAGGAAGGAAGGAAGGAAGGAAGGAAGGAAGGAAGGAAGGAAGGAGGGAAGGAAGGAAGGAAGGAAGGAAGAAGAAAGAGCTGTTTGGGGAAGATGACAGACATTCAGACTAAGTATGCCTTATCAAAAGTAACTGACCATCTTTCAAAACAAGGACGTCTTGCTGGGAGTAACTGGCAAACTCCTGTGGTACAACTAGAACATTGGTCTGGGCTTCAAGACACCCAAAGAGGACTTTGCCCCTGCATTGACAAGAAACGCCCCTTCACTGCTAACATCTCCATCCAAGGTAGATGCTGTCTTACATGATGACTAAAATAAAATACAGAGAGCCATTGTCTCCACAAATACAATCATTTCACCTGCAAGCACAATCATTTCAAGAAGTGCCACATGAATATGTCTGGGCACCTGTCCCCGATCTCATAGACGTTCAGATCAGCAATTTCATCATGGTGACTGTGTACTGGTTGCTGAGTAAGACGAGGCCTCAAGAAGCAATTGCAGAAGTTCTAAGTCTGGATGCCTGTCCAGTACCCAAAATAAAATAAAGCTATTTTAATTTCATTTTTAAAAAAGTTTGGACTATGTTTTTGTTTGGCTTATTAAAAGCACAATTTGAATATCTTTATCCTTTTAAAAGCAAAGATAAGTGATATTCTCCTCCTAGGAGTACCAATGGAGAGTGAGCAGTGTGGGACAGGCAGTGTTTGAAGACAAGTCAAGAAGAGGACATTGGGTGCTGGGAATCAGTGAAATGATGGGGGTCGGAAGCCTTTCTGTGTGGTTTTCCAGGTGCAGACCCCCCATCCAGTCAAAGGTACCATTCCAAATTGCCTTTTTCTTCTCCTTTGCCTCAAAATATCCTGAGCCAATGGGTTCCAATTTGGTAATGTCCCTAAGAGTTTTCTGAATCTCTAGCCCCAGATTAACTGAATCTGTCCTCCTACTTAGCTGTGGTTTGCTCAGTGGAAGTTGTCTCTGACAGCTATAGCAAGAATACCTGCCTTTGGATACTGCTTGGCCACATACTATGTTCCTTTAACTAAAATGCTTGATTTTTCTTGACTTCAGTTCCTTCATCTTTGAAAGGAGGTGATAGTAGTAAATGTCAATAGTCACTTCTCATCCCAAAGTTCATTTACTTTTTCTGTTAGCTTCTTCCCAGAGTAAAACCTCTGTGGTCTTCTGATTTATGAGCCTGTGTGTAAATTTATTTTAAAACAATCTAGTAATACATTCATGGAAATGTGATTGTGTAGGTATTATTAATAGGTATTGAACCTCAAGTCAGTAGGAAGACACCAAAACCAGAATGAAAACATAAATGAATGTGGGCCCAGGAGCAGCAATAACAAAAGATGAGTAATGAAGTATATTGTGGTTACATTTTGCTTAAATATAGAGAATGTGATAATAATAGATGGGTATGGTGTTCACAATTTTCACCTAAGAGAGACGGTTTGGTTTGCCTTGATCCTCTGTGAGGATTTTTAGGTAGGTGGAAAACCTAGAAAAGTTGTGTTTTTTTTGCTTAACTATGAGAAATATATGAGGGGGGACCCCCCAAACCTGGAATTATCTTTTGGAAGGTTGGCGCCCTTTAGTACACTTGGAATTTGTTCCAGATTAGTCAACCAACTTGTTTATCTGGACGTTTTGAGAAGGTTGTGTCATAATGGCCAGGCACAGTTGCTCATGCCAGTAATCCCAGCACTTTGGAGGCGGAGGTGAGAGGACTGCCTGAGTCCAGAGGTTCGAGATCAGCCTGGACAACTTGGTGAGGCCTTGTCTCTACAGTAAATCAAAAAATTAGCCAGGCATGGTGGTGCACGTCTGTGGATCTTGCTACATGGAAAGCTGAGGTGGAAGGATCACCTGAGTCCAGCAGGTCGAGGCTGTGGTGGCAGTGAGGGTGTCACTGCACTCCAGCCTGGGTGACAGAGATGCCAACTCCAAAAAAAAAAAAAAAGGGTTGCATCATGATTTTCAGAAGAAACATTCTGAATTGTGGCAAACAGGTGACTAGTTCTTCCACCATGACAATGCACCTGCGCACACAGCACTGAGTGTTCAGCAGTTTTTGACCAAAAATGGCGCGACCCCCATGTCCCACCCTCCCTATTCACCTGATCTCATCCCAAGAGACGTTTTTTGTTTCCCTGGATGAAAAAAGTGCTCAACAGGAAACATTTTGCTGATATGGAAAAGGTGAAAGCAAACAAACAGCAGAAGCACTAAGAGGCATCAAAATTGATGCGTTCGAAAACTGATTTGAACAGTGGCAGAAGCATTTTGATAGATGTATTGCATCAAACGAAGAGTACTTTGAACGTGACTGAAGTTTAAACATGTAAGAATAAATACACATTTTCTTTTTTAAATAAATAAATTATGTTTTTTGAGGCGTCCCCTTCACAATGTGGTGCAATAATGGATATAATATTTTAGTGTGAACATAACTTGGAATTTGGAGATCTTGTGATTTAATAACTAATAAGTTTGTCCTTGATTTCTCAGCAGTGGCCATATATAGGAGATGATATTCCCATCTCTTGGATTGGTGAAACTTTGGAGACTCAAATTCTGGCCCTTTGGGCAGCAGGGCTGGTTGAATTGCATTAAGGTCAGATTCTTTGTGAGAGGGACTATTCCTAATCTTCCCTTGGGGCAACAAAGGAGAAAGTAGGCATCTCACTGAACTACCAGCAAGAATATAGAGTTTCAGTTCAGAACAATGGTTTCCAAAGATCATATGCACTTTGCTTTGCTTTGTCTTGATTTAAAATTAGAAGGCATTACAATAAAAGATTTCCCAAATATTTTCTTTTCTTGGAAAAGTGCTGTTAATTTGAAGAGATTACCTACACCATGGGCCAGTTATCCATAGCAGTAGAAATGGAGTCACCACTCATAAGAGGCTGAAGATAGGAAGCCATTGGTACTGTGGCCTTTTGGTAAGTAGTTGGACCCTCATGGGGCAACCATCTCCTACGCAACCATCCCTGGTGATTCCATTGCCATCAGGCCCGAAATGTGTCTTAGAACATACAGAATGGCAAACGCTTTGGCCAGCCATATTTTCATGCAGGTTTCTTTCCTTTGTTTCATTTTTGTTTCAGTTCTATTTGAAAAAGAAAAGTTCAGAGGCTAATTTAAGTAGACAGACTTATTTATTAGGCAAAGACCGTGGGAAACATCTATCCTGGAAGCTCAAAAAGTACAATAGAAATGGAAGGTGTAAGTCTGGATGCATTTGCAGTCCATTTGCAAGATAAGCCACATGTATAGAGGAAAATGCTCAGGAGATAATACAAACAGGTGCAATCAGTCCAACAAAATGATGTAGCATTTAGGGAACCCGAGGGGAAAGCTGGAGGTAGGAGGGGCAGGCAGTGAATGGGGACACAGTGTGGGAATGGATAACAGTAGATGCTAACTGAAGGTGTGTTTGAGTGGTTTGGACATTGTAGTGAGGGCTGTGGGGTCATGAGGCTGGAATAGTGACTGACAAAGAGATGATATCACTAAAGAGGTGATTCCTGGGAATGACTTTGAAATGGAGAGAGGTTAGCTCAAAAGGAAGAGAATAACTGGTGACTTGTGGAGTCAACAAAATGAGGTTGGAAAGACCTCCAGGCAAAGGAGAAACAGGAGCATACAGAAAGAGGAACAGGGCCCAAGGAATGACTGTGCAGACAAATTTTGAGTTTTGTCCAAAATTCTCTCCTCTATCATACTTTCTGTCTGACTCTCCAGCCCTGCTCATCTCGGCTTCTCTCTACTTCCCTTGCCCACAGCTCAGCTACCATGGAAGTAGGGCCAGTCTCCTCTATCCTATAGGACATGGCTTAGAAATTTGAGATATAGGCCCTAAAAACTCTAGGAGTGGACCAGGTATTCATTGTGGGCCTGAGGTTACCTCACTTCCCTCCATCACAATGTTCCCTCCAAGTTCCTTAATGGGATTTCTGCCTGAGATTGTCTTTTCCCAGCACTCCCCAGATTTTCTGCTTGCCTAAAACCTGTTCTTCCACATACCCCTATTTCAGATACCAAGACATTTCTTCCACAACTCCAGGCTAACCCAATTCTATCTTGATCTCTAAACTGTCCTTTGAGTTTGCTCTAAGTCCTTTCCTGTAGGTTTTGGTCTTAAGGGATATGAGAACACTGGAAGCAGTTTGAGTCACCTCTCTATCCCCCAGATACTGGTACAGAAATAAATTAGGAAGGTCCTACTCCTCACTATCTCTAGCAGCTGCAATACAATCTTCGCAAGAGGAATTACTCTCTACCCAATAGGAAGAAACGGGGCTGGGTGAAGTTGGTAGGTGAAGCCTCAGAAGGTGATGGAGAAGAGAGGTTAGAGCAAAGGAAAACTGTTGAGATGAGATTCTTCTTAAGGTGCCCCTTGGCTGGATTGGGTAGGGATTAGTTTAGAATGGAGAGTGTCTGTATCACCAGAGGCAGAGTCCTCCCCTATGGGGGACAATGGGATCTCCTTAGTAAGGTCCTTGGCATTAGCAATGACTATCACTTCCTCAGGCTCGTCAGCAATTGGGCAGATGGTCAGGGGCTTTTTACCACAGGACCACAGGCAAAAGAAGGGCCGGAGGGGGCCAGAGAAAGAGTCTTTGGGGAAAGTATAGATATGAGATCCATCATTCATGTTGTAGAAGGAAATGTCTCCTGATTCATAGTCCAGGAAAATCCCAACCCTGCGGGGAGGCCCTGCCAATGGGAGAGGGGTCCGCAGAGGGGTGAGGGCCCAGTACCCATTTCCATACAACTCCACAGCCCAGAACCCATTCTCAGGAGTCATGGGGTCAAATCCTTTCTTTACCACATTCTCCCTACACACGCCGATTGCCCAGTCAGTTCTGTCTCCTACCTCTACCTCCCAGTAATGTCTCCCTGAGGTGAAGGTCTCACGGCCCAACACACAGGGCCAGGAGTCAAATCTCTCTGGTTTCTCAGACTGTTTCTGACGTGAATCTTCCAGTCGAACAGATTTTGAATCCTCATAAAGAAAGAGGTGGGGATGGGCTGTGTCTGGATCCAGAGTCACATCAACTAGAGACAAGAGAGAGAGAACAAGTCTGATCATCAGTGAATGTTACAGATCACAAGACCTGTCTTTGCTTCTCCAAAGAAATAGAGCACTGTTCTAGAGGTTGACAGGCATTGTCAGAAAGAGAGTTGTTTGGCCTGCTTGAGTATCTCTGCTCACCCCAGGCTTCCTCCTTCATCAGCAGACAAGAGGCTGGTGTATGAACTGACTTTTCCCAGTACGTAATGAGACACTGTCAGAGGGGGTTTGTCCTCTAACCATCTTCTAAGGGCCTCGTATGTGCCTCAAGGAAAGTGTTGAGGCCATTTGCCATCACCTTTCCCCTTTCTATTCTCATCACTAAAGTGTGTTAGTGTTTCCATTTCCAAATATCATAGGACTTTAAATTCCTAAGTGATAGAGCCTCAGAGCCTTGAGAAGTTCAAAGCTACTGACCTGCATGCAATGTGGCCTTTTTCCATTCTGCAATAAAAGAGAAATATAGTCAATGACAGGTTATATAACAAGAGAGAGAAAACTTTGTGGGTGAACTAATAACAGGAAGACAGAACTTACTGAGCTCTTTCAGGAGTTTCTCTGGAAAAAAACAAAAATACCTCAATGGTTTTCTATGGTGACATGAGGGAGGTGACAAACTGGTGTGGGAAGCATACAGAGGAGAAACTGTTTAATTCATGACTATTTGACTACTGAAACATTATCTATAAATCAAGAACAAGGATTTCATTTTGTTTTGTTTTCTAAGAAATATGCAGGAAGTTTCTACTGACTTGGGATCAGATCTTTAATAGAAACATTACTGGGAAATGAAGTTAAAAATGAGGATAGGGTCTGAGGTGTATAGTGAATGAACATTAAGTCTAGTATCTTGATTAGAATTGGTTTAAACTCTGCCTGTGCCCCAAACCTCTGTGTTTCTTCATGTTGGGTACCTGCAGTTTCAAGAGCCTTATGATTCTTTCCAACTTTCAGATTTTTAGAATCAAATATCTTTCTGTTGGAAGTTTTCTAAAGGACTTGGATCTAGCCCTCCTCTGAAGCACTACTGACAGGTAACCTTTGTGGATTCTATGGCTTACCTTTAGGGCTGAATTCATTCTTCTTCTCTCTAGATCTTTCCTTGTATAGTCTCCAAGTAAAAAATATGGACCCGATGGTAAGAAGTCCTAGGACCACCAGGATAACAGCCATAGCCACCATCCAGGGAGTCAGCCTTGAGAAGGAAGAAGCTAAAACAAAATCCCCAAGAAGGACATTAGTTGAGAAACTCTGAGCAAGTCCAGCTTCTCTTCGGATACCAAAGAAGAGTGTAAAAGGGGATGATCTGGACCATTCTCATCTCTTCTGTGCAAAAGTGATCCCTCCAATGCTCCTCTAAGTTTTTCCAAAAAATTTTTTTTGACCTTGAGCAGGAGAGGGCAGAGGAAGAGAGAAATGAAGAGTCACATTGGGATAGGACTTGCGAAATAATAAATAAAATGAGCCAATTCGTGTAATTATGGAAATTCTTCCTTAACTATCAAGTAGAATGGAAGCCAAGAGTATGAAGGAGGCAAATAAGGAAGGGAAATATGTCACCTCTCTGTGTAACAGAATGGGACTCATTGATCAAAGTTTAAGGAAAGGCTCCTACCTCAATAAGAGATGGTATCTGAGGAATAATGAGAATGTCTGCTTCCCTGAGGACCCTCAAAACCTAGACAGAGCTCTAGCATGGAATGGAGAGGGGAGAAGTGAGTAAGAGTAAAAATAGTAAAAGTAGACAAATATCTTAGTATTCTTGTTAATTTGAGGAGAGAAGGCTCTAGATCAGGCCCCAGTAGCAAAGTTTCTCTATCTCAGCTACAACTCCTAAAAAGGAAAATCTGGAATTTATATGAGATCTAGGTAGATTTATGCCTTCAGAATCTTCACTCTTGTAATGAAGTTGGTGGAGCTTCCTCAAGTCAGCGGGCAAGTACTTAGGTGAGCAAAGTGAACAACTCTGCCATGAGGTCACATTTGGGCAGGTGTTCCAGGTGATGTGCCTCTGAAGCTGTGTCAACATGGGAATCCATAATTGGTTTCACTGACCTGGTATGAAAATTCCTACTTCCTTCTCCTGGCCAAGAAGGAGGTTCTGGATGCAGCAGGACACATTCTCCACGGAGGTGTCTCTAATGATCACTGAAGCAGCCACCGTAAACAGACCTTCTTCATCAGGATTCCTGGACTCCAATATGGATGGAAACTTTTCTCCCATGGAAGTTCTCCAGTGCACCTGGGGCTCTGGGTACCATCCCACTGAGGTGCAGTCCAGCCGGATCTCTCCACTCTCTTGAATTTCCATATTGATGTGAGGAGCAGAGCCCAGAGCTATGAAGAGAGAAGCTAGCCTTAATCTTTTAACAGACGCTCTTCTAGGAGCTTTATAACAATAGAGCTACATATTTTAAGAAAGAGAGAGTGCATGCGCCCAAGTGGATTAGGAATGAGAGGAACTCATCTCCATATTTCATTACACAAGAACTTATCCTTATCAGAGAAGGATGCCTTACTGGGATCTAGCTTTTGAAATGTGGGCAGGAGTTTGATAGGCAGACATGGGTGTGCTTATCCATGACCAGTGGCTTAGTGACAGTTTTGTGGTTTAGGCTGCGAGCTCCAGAGCTGGTAGAAAGTTCTGTGGTTGGAAATATTATGAGAAGACTTTGGGGAGGAAAAGAAGAGCTAGAATTGGGTATTTAAGCATGAACAGAGAAGAAGTATCCTTGAGAAAGAGGATTGGATGTTCTTTACCCTGAGATTATAGTTGACAATTTAAGTTTATTTTACCTGTGATGCTGATCCAAGAGTTTTCTTAAATTGCTTCAACCACATCCTCTCTTATACAATTACCCCTTAATATAGAACAACATAAAGCTGCTTTTCCTGTTTGTGCAGCCTAAATTTTTTCTTCCTGCTCACACATTCGACTGGGCATAGTGGCCCACACCTGTAATCCTGGCACTTTGGAAGGTCGAAGCAGGAGGATTGCTTGAGGCCAGAAGTTCAAGAACAGCCTGAACAACATAGCAAGGCTTCATCTCTAAATTTTTTTTTTTTTGAGTTGGAGTTCTCATCCTGTCACCCAGGCTGGAGTGCAGTGACACACTCATGGCCACAGCAGCCTTGACCTGCTGGGCTCAGCCTTCCAAGTAGCTGGAACTGTAGGCATGCGCCACCATGCCAGGCCAATTTTTTGATTTATTGTAGAGATGAGGTCTCATTAAGTTGCCCAGGCTGATCTCGAACACATGGGCTCAGGCAATCCTCTCACTTCGGCCTCCCATAGTGCTGGGATTATAGGTGTGAGCCACCGTGCCCGACCTAAAATTTTTTTATAATTTGCCAGGCATGATGGCACATGCCTGCAGTCCTGGCTATTTGGAAGGTTGAGGTGGGAGAACGGCTTGAGCCCTGGAGTTCAAGGCTACAGTGAACTATGATCATGCCACTGCACTGCTGCCTGGGTGACAGAACAAGACTCTGTTTCTAATAATAATAATAATATGATAATAATAAACAATAACAACAAAAAGCCAAACCAGAAAACCCTCACACAATTATTTCCTAACATAAATAAACATAGTTTCTTTTTCTATATTTTCAGTCTAATTTTTTTCTTCGAATTCTACAAGACACATAAAAATACTGAACTGCATAGTAGTTTTTGAATACATCTTCACAATCACTAGATTAAATTCATATTCCAAGTTTGTGTGTATATATGAGAATTATTTTTTTTCATGGACAGGGTCACCACTTTTGACAGATTCTTTTTTTTTTTTTGAGTTGGAGTCTCACTCTTGTCACCCATGCTGGAGTGCAGTGGCCCACTCACGGCCACCACTGCCTCGACCTGCTGGGCTTAGGTGATCCTTCCGCCTCAGTCTTCCAAGTAGCTGGAACTACAGACATATGCCACCATTCCCGGTTAGGTTTATTTATTTATTTATTTATTTATTTATTGTAGAGATGAGGTGTCACCTAGTTGCCCAGGCTGGTCTCAAACCCCCAGGGTTCAGGCAATCCTCTTGCCTAGGCCTCTCAAAGTGCTGGGATTATGGACTGAGCCACCACACCCAGCCTTGGCAGATTCTTAACAGTGTCTGTCACTCATAAAAGGAAACAACAACAGTTTTATGCCATCCAATTCCTAAGTTTTTATAATTAACTTTTAAGATACTTCTTCCCAAAATACGAATATGAATTATACACGATGCTGCCACAGAGGGCACCGTGTTATAAAGCAGGAACCCAGATTTCACCCGAGTAGTTTTCAAATTTTATCTTTACCTTAATAAACATATATTAAAGGCAATATATCTGTATATTGTATATTTTAGATCAGTTGAAAGCACAGTAATCATATCTTATCTGTTTTAAATGGTTTTAGAATTGGCAAAGCAATTTCTCATATATTGTCTGATTTTATTTCATGCTTGTAAATCATCTTGGATAAATACTTCTCCAGTTTTACAGTAAAGCACAGGAGGAGATTTGCATGATGCTATTCCCCAGTAGAAAGTCAGACTTCAATGCATACTTTTCTCCTCAATGCTCATTATTTTCTTTATTAATTCCTTCTGCATTTTGGCTTGAAGCAAAAAAGATGAAAGCAAAATCTTTTCTATATGAACCAAGAACATTAACAAATGGCTGTGTTCTGTAATCTTAGGATATTAGTCCTTAGAAACGAATCCATACAGCAGTCTCAAAATATGTGGCATGCTTACCACAGCCTTATGGTAATGGTGGAAACTAGACACAAATGTCCAATTCTAGGACTTGACTGAATAAATTATGGTGCACTCGTATAAAAGACTGTGATATTACTCTTATATCTTACACTCAATTATTTCACGGGAGAAATGCTTACTCTATTACTGAGGGGAAAGGGCAGGAGATAATTAAAATAACTCCACAAGAAAGACATAGCACTGCTCTCTCCCCCCCTCAATGCAAACCCCTTTCCCACTTTTCCCCTACTCTAGCCTTGTCAAATCTCTCCGACCTAAAAGGGATCTTGAGAATGAAGCTGGTGGCTTTCAAAGTAACTGATCCTTAGAAAAATATAGGCCGCGTGGGACTCACTGGAGAAAGTAAAAACCCATCTACTCACCAGCCACCTTCAGATGCACGAAGGCTTTTTCGTAGTGTCTGTCCTCCCCGAAAAAGCATCGGTACTCGCCATCATCAGAGACCCTGACGCCGTGTATCCTCACAGCAAAGCGCCCCGCAGCCTTGTCCTTCACCTTGGTCACTCTCCCTTGGTACTCGGGCAACTGCTCTCCCTCCTGCTCTCGCCCATCCCACCTCCGGAACCACCGAAGCTCCAGGTGCTCAGCACTCACGTTAGGGGAGAGGTGACAGGGCAGTTCGGCATCTTCACCCACCATGGCCAGGATGGACTCCGGGGATCCAATCACATCAAAGGGAGCTGTCAAAAAGAACGAGCGGGATCTGACAGACTGTGGAGATGGGAACTGGGGACTGACACCCACCAGACTCCCGCCCGAGCACTGAGTACCACCCCGCCGCGCTCTCCTCTTACTCTGTAGATAGCTGGGGGAGACCATCTGGACTCCAATGGAGGTCGCTTGGGAGAGCTACATCGAGTTGTTTACATTTACTGAGACATGACATTTACTTTCAGCTCTGCAGGTCAGAGAGAGAGAAAGAGAGAGATGTACCTGAATGCAGCTTGGGTAGCTGGAGGAGAAGGAGGAAGAGCAGACGTCTGCAGAGGCAGGAGTTTAGGAACACTGCCATCTTTGACCTTTCTGGGACAGCAAAATACTGGGGTGAATCCCTCAGGAACTTCAGCCTAGAAGATGAATGAACGGGAGACAACTATGGGATCTGAAGACCCTCTGCTTTCCAAAGTCCTCTCTACAGTTTTCTTCCAACCTGAGTGCTCTGGTCATTTGCATCTGAAGTCTCCTCTCAACTTCCTCCCACAGGGTGGATTTTCAGTCCACACTCCCATTAGCACCTTTCCACCCACCATCTTAACCCCCCAAAAGACTCAGGAGATGGGAAAGCGGCATCATACTCATTAGTGGGTTGCATATCAATGAATACGTCTTGTAATCACTGCACTAAAAAAGGCTTATTTCAAATACAATAATCTAGTATTTGCTTTTACCAATTAAGATAAGACCATGGAGTCCAAAATGGAAACCAAGATAATTAACTGGAGGAAAAAAGAGAAGAAGATGGGAGGAGATGGAGCAAGAAGAGGGAGCTGAAGAGAGCAAAGGGCTGGAAGAGTAATGGGCCTAGGATCAGGGAGGAAGGATTTAGAGAGAGAGAAAGAACTCTGCCCTCCTGGCCACTCACTCTCTCAGAAGGCTGAGAGTAATCACACATACTGACCTGGTTGATCTTGGAGGAAGAGGCATAAAGGGCCACTGCTACCAAGTGAGAAAGGTGGCTGTGGCCCCAGGGGCAAAAGTTAAAAGCCAGCAGGAAAAGGAAGGGGGAAGTGCTCTTAGGAAAGCCTGTTCCCAGGTGGCCTGGTGTTTTTACTTAAAAAAAAAGAAAGCAAGAAAGAGTTTTCCAGAGAGATGGAAACCTAGATTTGTGATCTTCAGCTCAGAAATCAGGATATACACTGATGAGCTGGACTAAGTAAAAGGAGATAGAAAGAAAAAAAGAGAGCCAAAGAAATGAGATATGAGGGTCTCAGCAGGTTGTTTTTACCTCACCAAGTATCAATTCTTTTATCTCTAAAATGGTAATAATGCTGTTTATACCTTTCTTGAAGGTGTGGGAGGATTAAATGAAATTAAGCAGGCAAAGTGCTTAGCATGTGGTAAGGATTCTGCAGGGGTAAATTGTTTTCTATTATAATTTCTGTGGGTTAAAAAATGAAAGAGCGGAGACCAAGGTAGCAGTAACCTCTGGCAGTAGCCACTGGGAGCCCTTCTCTTACTGAAGTGCCCACTGAAGCTGCTGTGTCTGTTGGCATAACTCCATTAAAGACCAGCCTCAAAGGTGGGGTGTAAATGTGCCAGCTCATGAGATATGACTCAATTTACAGGACACCAAAGTTGTCTCCCTGCCAAAGTCATCTATCTCAAAGCAATTTATGAAACCTGCAAATCCCTGTTTTGAGCTAAATCTTGTATTGTTATTGAAACAATTTAAAATACAGAAAAATATGTTTTATAAAATAGAAATCACCCTTTATCAGTTAATGATAGTTTCACATCACATTTTGGCATATTTCCTTCCAATATTTATTATATGCTTTTTTTTTCTTTTATGAGTTGGAGTCTCTTTCTGTCACCCAGACTGGAGTGCAGTGGCCACTCCCAGTCACTGCAGCCTTGACCTGCTGGGCTCCGGCGATCCTTCAGCCTCAGCCTTCCAAGTAGCTGGAACTACAGGCGTGCGCTACCATGCCCGACTGAGTTTTGATTTATTGTAGAGATGAGGTCTCGCCAAGTTGCCCAGGCGGGTCTCGAACCCGCGGGCTCAGGCTATCCACTCACTTCAGCCTCCCAAAGTGTGGGATTACAGGCTGAGCCACTGAGCCTGGCTATTATATGCTTAAGTACGTCACAAAAACAGTGGATTAGGCTTTTTAGAAAATTCAAAATGTTGTTAATGGTTGCATAATTGTCAGCATTGTGGGACTTTTTTATTATAAATTATACACTATATATATGTCTTTATTCACAACCTTGATAACTTCCTGATAAACTGTCTGATAAATTTCCAGAAATAAAGTAATCAGGTCAAAGGGTATGAGCATATTGCCAATGTCCCTTTCTGTAAAGTTGAACCTATCACATCATCAATAGACGCATCCTCACTTCATCCCTGTTAGCACTGAGGGTTATTATTTCACACCCTTGTTATTGGGATGGGCGGAATTTACCAAATTATTATTTTGTTATGCCTTTATATGATGTGTTAATTAGCCCATTTAATATAGCCTAGAAATAAGTTTTTCAGTCCAGTTGCCCATATTTTCAAGATTGGTCATGGTGCTGTTTCTTACAAATCTATATTAACTTTTTATAAATTGAAGATGTCAATTCTATATTATATTAGTGACAAAAGTCTTTCCCAGTTCTGTTATTTATCTTTCAATTGGGATTATGATTAAGACAAAAGACAATGGCTCCAGTTGACCCACCAGACTGCTGGGAGAATGACCTTTTCCAAATGTAAATCTGATTATATGCTTTTTGCTTAAAAATCCCTCCATGTCTCCCCAGTGAACTCAGCACCAAGTTTAGGCACCTTAATCAGGTTAAGAAAATGCTATAAATTTCATTTAATCTGATCAAGAAAATGCTCTAGCAGTCTCCCTCCTTTCTTCTTCTCAGTCTTTTTTCCATTCTTCTCCCTCTGCCTGCCCATCCATCAGCAGAATTTGAAATGGGTATAGTTACCTCAACCCACTGTGCCTTGTGTGCTTGTCTTCTCTCTTTCAGAACATTCTGTGCCATTTTATTTGCATAATGAGCTCCTGTTCTTCCCTCAGAAGCTCATGTAAGGGTTGTACCTTCTGCAACAGCTTCAGAATCAAGCAGGCTTTGGGCTAAATGACATGGCTTCTCCTTCATTTATGTTTACTTATCACACCTCCCTGTGATTCCACCCAGGTACCCTAACAAGAGGAGCTTTAGGAAGTAGTCTCGCAGAACTGCCCAGTTCATGTGACAACCACCTCTCATATTGTGGGCTAGGTTTATCCTGTGACAGCCTTCTGGTCCCTTACTTCTGGCACACACTTGACCCGAGCTCTAGTTTCAGAAGCAGACATGTTTTATTGCCATCTTTTATTTCCAAGTTTATCGTCTCCAGGGAATAAGAACTAAGCTCTTCCAGTTCCTATTCCCTGTCTTCTCATCAACATAGATACTAAAAACTTGCAGCTTAAATTAAACCAACCAGTCCTTGGCCTTAGTGTTTCTTCCCTCTCCGCCCCTCCCTTCCTTTCCCATCCCCTCCCTTTCTTTCTTTGTCTGTCTTTCTGTCTCTTTTGTAAGACAAGGTCTTATTCTGTCACCCAGACTAGAGTGCAGTGACACGATCCTGGGGACCTCCTGGATTCAAGTAATCTTCCCATCTCAGCTTCCCAAGTAGCTGAGACTATAGGCATGCACCACCATGCCTGACTAATTTTCGTATTTTTTGTAGAGAAGAGGTATTGCTGTGTTGCCTAGGCTTGTCTCAAATCCCTGGGCACAAGCGATTCTCTAGCCTCAGTCTCCCAAAGTACTGGGATTCAGGCGTGAACCTCCACATCTGGCCTGAACGTCCTAGTTTGAAAAACTCCTGCCTTATTCTCAGTTTTTCTTCATGCTTAGCTTTCAGAAAATATCATAATTTTCCATTTTCTATTGTATATATATAGAAAATAATCTATTTTCCCTTCCTCACTTATTTCTGCTATTGGCCAACTCCAATTAGACTTCTGTTCCATTTTTTATATTCTCATAGGAAAAGAGCTTTTACTTGCACCCGAGGGAGCCAGACTGAAAAGAAAGGGGCTGGGGAGAGAAGAACAAAGGGTATTTAGAGCTCAAGCTATTGCATAGCAGCCACAATGATGACTGGATAACATCTAAGTCATTTTGACAGAAACCAAGTCACCAGTCTTAGGCAATGAAAGGCAGGATCTCTGGATTTTTCAAGGTTCAGAGAACAGACCTTCTACGATGCTCCTGCCTCTCATAACTCCTGTTTGGGAGATAGCTTGTGAGGTGGGGCTGCTCTTTGGAAGTTCAAGTTATTACCAGGCCTACTGGGAAATAGAAACATAAACTTGTTTCTCTTAGACATGAAATCATTTGGGCTAAATGACATGAAATCATTTGATATGCTTCATATGTGAGCAAACCTAATGTTAAAATGTCAGGGTTTTGGTTTTTCTTCCTTTTTCACTACAGACTATTGATATTTCTCAATATTATGCTCTTGTCAAATCCAGTGGTTACTCTCACCTCATCTTACTAGATTTTCATCAGTATTTTACTGAAGTAATCATTTATTTCTTTTCTTTTTCTTTTTCTTTCTTTTTTCTTTTCAATTGGGATCTCACTCTCTTACCTAGGCTGGAGTGCAGTGGCATGATCACAGCTCACTGCAGCCTCCACCTCCTGAGCTCAGGTGACCCTGAGTAGATGAGACTACAGGTGTGCACCACTGTGCCTGTCTAATTTTAAAAATTTTTTTTTGTAGAGATAAGGTTTCACTGTGATGCTCTCAAACTCCTGAGCTCAAGCAATCTTTCCGCCTTGGCTTTCCAAAGTGCTGGAATTACAGGCATGAGCTACCATGCCCAGCCTCCTTTTCTTTTTAAATTTTTTTTTCTGTCAAAGTAGTATATATAAAGAGTTTTTTAAAAAACGAAATAGGACAGAGATTTTTAAGAAAATTGTCAGCTTTGCTTCGAACCTGTTCTTCCGCATTCTTCCCAGAAACAGCTTCTTTAAATCCTTAGTTGTTTTATCTGGTACTTATCTACATATTTCTCAAGACAATAGCATATTTCAAATATGCTGCCATTTCTCTATATATCCATTTTTAGGTATTACTTTTCTATGCCCTCTTATAATCAATTATGATTTATCTCTCTTATATCACCAATAGTGATGTATCAGAATTCTTTTTTTTTTTTTTAAAGAGATGAGAGTCTCACTGTGTTGCCCAGACTGGTCTCAAATTCCTAGGCTCAAATGACCCTCGTTCCTCAGTCTTCCAAGTCACTGAGATTATAGGGGACTGCTACCATACCTGGTGTCTATATC